GCTGTCAAACAGGCTCAACTGTCACCTGTCAGCCGGCTGCCAAGTTAGCGGCAGTATGCCCAGCTGGGTTACCTTGTGGCCAATACAGCCTGTTAACCTTTTCTGCCAGCCTCTGCCTCTCCTTCCTTGCGCGCCAAAGTTAAAAAATATAAAGTTTTCATCTCTTAAAAATATGACAGCAAATACATATATAGTTGCACTGCTATCAGTATTCAAGAATGAGAACCTCCTTGTATACCATAGCTAAATACAGAAACTATACTTTCTCTGTTATAAAGGAAGTGAGGCTCCAAAGTTAAATTACTATGGATGTTGAAACCATTATCATCCTGTAGTACAGTTTTTACTCAAACATATCTAATAATAATATATGAAATTAATACAAAAACTAGTTTTAAAAACAATTGACTATACATTTCACATATATAATGTTCTGCATGAGTCATTTGTTTTCCTGCATTAGCTATTCAGTAAGTATTAATATGATACATGTTCTTCCTTATAAAAATATGTTCTGTGACTCACACAGATGATGTAGATGTCCCTGGTCATTTAATTAGTTGTATAATGATGCTTTGTGCTGATTGTCTTGTCAAGAACTGAAACTTATTTTTTATAACAATATATCTGTGTATTAAAAGGAAATACTCCTAAAGTACATTGGAGAGGGAGGGAAATAGTATTTATATGGAAAAGAGAAAAATAGCAAAATGCTAATATGAAACAATTTCTATCAGATAATTGGAATCTCAATATCCCCTAGTAATAAAGCTTTTTCTGATGTTTACTTGTTTCCTGATTTCTGAGGGCTCCCTTACTAAAATACGCATTTGCAACTGTTATCTAGCTATTTATCATTCATTGGATTGTACATTTAATCTTTTTTTTTTTAAGTAATTATTCACAAAAAGTTAGACAAAATCAAATATTTGTATTACAGTAGCATATACTACTTATGGGCATCAAATCACATTTAGAAATTGAAATTCTACTTAAATATGCTGTGGATCTTGACACACTAAGGACCAATTGATTGTTATTCTGTATCTCACATTTTGCATTCTCTTTCTTAAGGCTTGTTCATTCATTAATTCATTATTTATTTTAGTGTCCCACCATTATTATTTTTACAAATAACTCAAGTGGTGAACATACCCAAGGTGACACTGCCGTGACGAGGTGAGTTTGACATCCCTGAACTATATGATTGTAACAACACTGCTCACCTTGTAAGATCTATGATAATTCAACGAAGTCTCCATTGCAGAGAGGTTAATAATTTGCAAGATGATGCAGTAAGGGCTAAAGGTCTTTCTAAGGTTCACTAACTGGGAAATACATGGGAGTCTTGACAGCCAATCCTTTCTAAGCCTTTGGCAGAAAATATGTTGGAAATTACAGACCTTCAGAGTGAGTATGAACTTAGAAAATAGGATTTTGTGGATCATATTTCAGCAATATGTCATTGGTTTCACTCTGGAAATATAATCAAAACTAATCATGGTGTCTCTCTTTCAAAGCTCAACCCTTTTTAAAATTATGTTATTATTGATTGCTCAATTGGCACATTTATCTATTTTACTAGAGGTTACAAATCTGCTTATAGGGAACAAGCTAAGCCGTGGTGGGATTCAAATTTTTTGCTACCAGTTCTGTGGGCGTGGCTTGGTGGCCATGGCAGGGGAAGGATACTGTAAAATCTCCAGTCAGAGATGGTATTTCCTGGTTCTCCAAACTACTTAAAATTTCCGCTACCGGTTCTCCAGAACTGGTCAGAACCTGCTGAATACCACCTCTGAAGCTAAGTAAATTTCCTTACTTCTGGTCCCAGGAGACAAGTCAGATTACCTCATAATATCTCTAACTGATACCAATGATCTCTCAGCAGTGCGATTTAGTGTAATCTGAAATGTATTTGTAAGAAGGATTATAACCAACTGAGCCAACTGCTGTAAGATCATAACCAACAGACATTACAGACTTGTATTAAATTGTCACCAAACATATTTGTCCCAAGATCATGCATGTCAGTTGTGACCAACATAATGTCTTTCAGATGTACACTAACTGGGAATTCTGAGTTAGTGGTCAGTGGTGGGATTCAAATAATTTAACAATCGGTTCTTTGCCCTAATGACTGGCTGGGTAGGTGTGGCTGGGTGGTCATGTGACCAGGTGGGGAGGGCCAACTTAATGTTACTCATGTCGAGGGGTGCCTTGCGATGCCCAGCCTCTCCTCACCATGCCCGGCCATACCTTGCCCCTCTCTTCCCAGCCACATCTTGCCTGGACTGAGAAGGTAAGGCCAATGGCAGGGGAAGACAACCCGCTCCAGGCCTGATGCATTCAGTCGAAGGGCGTGGGGCACCTTGGGGGCAACGATGAGGCTTGGTTGGGTAGGCGTTCTCTGCTCCAGTGATTCTCAGCTTCTGTGGGGCCTCTGGGCGGCTGCTGCCAGCTTGCTCTCCCCTCTGCCTCGGGTCCCACATCCAGCCTGCGATGGGGGGACTTGTCATTTCTGGCCCAGCCCAGCTGGTGGGCAAGGGGGCAGCCCTTGGGGAAGAGCACCACTCTGGGATGCTATGTTTCTGGACCAGGTGCTTTCTCTTGGTCCTCCCACCTGGAAGACCCACAGAAGCCGAAAGCTGGGTCCGAAAGGCAACCGAGTCTTGCTGTGTCCCTCCCCCAACCCAGCCTTTCAGCCAAGTGTGCCAGGCTTGGATCTGGTCTCCCTCCCTCCCTCGCCATCAGCCTTACCTCCTCATGCTGGGTGAGGAGTGGCTGTGAAGGGAGGGACAAGGGGCAGGGCCAGCCAGTGGTGGGATCAATGAGTTCACCAAACTGCAGAAAAGTTAAATACCAGTTTGGCTGAACTGGTAAGAACCGGCTGAATCCCATCTCTGGTTGTGGTCCAATAGCTGCAAGACACCAGGTTGAACAAAGTTAATGTAAATTAATATAAATGTAAAGGGGTGTGAAAAGCAAAACCATGCATTGACATTGATTTACACCAGGAATATTTCAAGGCGCTTAATGGAGTTTCTCTGGGTAAAAGAAAACCAACAACTTTATAATAGTTTATAAAGTTTATAATATTTATAATATTTTGTATTAAAGTTAATCATTCCAAACTTAGTAATTAAAGCTTGTTCATTTTGGATGTGCACCAAAATAGATGCTGGTTTCAAAGATCCAAACTGATATTCTCACATGTTCAAATTTTCTGGTTGAAAAAGTATTGGAAAAATGTGAAAGAAACTGATCTATATCCTATAAGGCAGGACTGTCAAACTCATGGCCCACGGGCCAGATGTGTCGCACATTGGCCATGCCCATGCCCAGTTTAGCGAAGGGAGGGAAAGTCACATGATGATGCCATGACAACACAAGTTTAGCACCCCTGGTCTAATGCCTAGGCAAATAGGGAAAAATATCTTATGCCTAAAGACTTTAGGGAAAGAAATTAGAATGAAAGATGAAGGGTGGCATCTAATCTGCATCATCAGAGGAATATGGTGAAATTTGGCTGATGTCAACGAATTTGAATGGGGTTGAATTTTATGTTGAGGCCACTATTTTACTTCAGATTTATGTGAAAACCCAACTCTGTGGAAAATGCTCTAAAGCTGGGAAAGGAAAGAGAAGGGTGGAGTGTTGTATGGGAGACATGAAAAAACAGATTTGGGAACAATCACCTTGGAAAAAATCTATATGGTTGCTAAGAGTTGAAAACAATTTGATGATATCTAATCAGTTAATCATCAATCAATCCACTAGTGAGGCCACCAGAAAAACACAGAAGAAAGCAATGGCAAAATCTCTTCTGCAAAGAAAATGAAACAGAAAGATCGATATATTCAACAGCAGCTGGGTTTGAAATGAGGGCAATTTTTATAAATCTCCTGCTGTATTGGAAATTAAGCTTAAACTTTGCTTGGTTGGTTGGTTGTTTCTTTATTCAGAAGAGATAATCTCCTTTTTTAAAAAATGTCTTCAAAAAAGATTATGCTAAATAGTTAAAATTCTATAGTACATTACAACAAAATGCTCTGACATTTTGAAGCAGTTTCCAAGAACCATCTGTAAGATGGAAGCACCAAACGAGGGGAAAGAGTTTGTTGTCACTGATATTTAGAGTTAATCATTGCAAATGGTCAATTAGAAATTATTGAACTGCCGCACGAGCGCAATGTATGACTGGCTAAACTGCCCGGACTGCTGAGTAGCACTGCGTGCAAGTGTGTAGCAGTTGGAAAAGCCCTTTTTTCCTGCTTTTTCAACCGTAACTGTGTCGCGCAAAGCAGCTGCGGTTGAAAAAGCAGGAAATAAAGGTCAGGTAAGAGCCCGGGCGGGCAGATGGCCCAAACCAGCAGCGGACATAGAACCGGTTCTCTATATGCTCTCTGCCTGTTGCTCTTCAGAACTACTGGTTCTATAGAGGTGGACAGAACCGGTAGAATCCCACCCCTGACCCATATGTACAGTATATAATATGTGTCATTTTACAAGGATAGAAATATGTGTAGAGAGCTGTAGTAAGTGATGTTTCTTTTGATGACTATTTTTTTATAATATGTTTTCCTGGAAGGGTGATCTAATGTTGTGTTTTCAATCTGCAAAGCTAGCTGTTTTATTTGTAAATAAATAAGTCAGTGTTTAGTAGCGTAGAATTGCATGGGCACTTTTTTTGCAGCCATTTTTAAAATCTTTGTTCAGCCCATCCATGTAGTTGGGCCAGGCTTAGAAGAGTCCTATCAACAGGGAGCAGAAATAACAAAGCGTCCTGAGAGAATATTGATTATAAATTGTAATTAATTGTTAACACTGAGCTGTGATATTTAAAAGGATGGTGCTAGGTTACTTTCTTACTCCAAAATCCTGACACCGCCAAGCCATCAATTATATTTAAGGTGGCCAAGGAATTCTGGATGAGTTTTTCCCTCTGGGCCTCAATGGTTGAAAAAGTTTAACATGAAATGAGCCAGCAGTCCTTCAGCTATCCTGAGCACCAAAATCGTTTCCTTCCACTACATTCCAGGTGATCCTTGCTCTTCTCAATCAGGCGATCCCTTAAGATTGCTATGATTCTTATGGTAACAATTTCATCTATTGTAGAAATTGGTGTTGGGCTTGTTGGCTTTGGGATGTTCTTCCTCCTGTTTGGTGTATTGTTGTACATGGATTCAGTACTTCTGGCCTTTGGAAATGTAAGTATTTTTTAAAGTGTCAAATATTTCATGCAAAAAGAAATAATAAGTAGTGAGTATGATAAAATAATAGACTGATTTATTTTTTTAAAAAAAACCTTTCACTTTTGATGAGCCCACTTTACAAAGAACTTGTACTCATACATTTTTATGCTTTAAGGATTAGTGCATTTATTTATAAATAAACTTATTTTTTAAAATCAACCAGGCTGCCAGATCAGAATTAGCCATTACAGAATTCTGTTTAAAATTGTACATGGTTTAATAAATATAAAAAATGTTATAACAACGGCTGTAGGGTGACAGTGTTTCAAAACATAGAATACATGTCAATAGTGATTCGATAGCTGTTGCCATGGTGGCTGATTTGAAGATGAAAAGGCAGATCCTAAAGGTAGGCATCAGAAGCAGAACACTGAACTGTGAAATGGATTGGCAGGGAAGATGGGGAGAGAATGTTGGTACAAGAAAAAACTTTCTCACCCACCATGCATAAAAAGAGAAAATGCTGCTTCATCCATCCATTCGTGAATCAATTTCTGCAGGAAAAATAACAGCATTTTCAGTCATACCGGTTGATCTCTGCCTATGAGAAGGGCAAAAATGATAAAAGTCTTGTCAGGTTCATCCCAGCTCCCTTTTCCTCACTACTGTACTTGGAGTGGGAATAGCATGCAAATATTCCGAGCTTAGATCAATTCAACTGCACTTTAAGATAGCCTCAGTAGATACACATTTCTAGTAGACTTGTTTGTTTGAATTGTTTTAAAAATGAATATTTTGCTATACAGGGGATCTGCGAAGCTATCACGCCACCTTTCCTCTTGAAGATAATTTTTTTAAAAAAATAGAAAAAATTGAACCAATGTTCTCTTTCCTAGTCAACAGTATAAGATAGTTGGTCAAATGGAATATAAAATTGGTCCCAAGTATATATAGGATTCAGCTTCCATTATTTTTTTCCATAAAACACCATATTATGTAAAGTTTGCTATTCTTTCTATGATTGGGGCCTTGATGAGGCAAAAGGGCTTGTGTGGGTAAATGAAATCGTGGGCTATGTCGTTGGACATGTATATGTCCAGAAGGTTCCCCAAGGTGAACAGGCTATGATGGCTATCCCAGACTAACATCAATCATATCTGCCAACCCATATTGGATCCGCATGGCAGACAGAGGTGGTATTCAACAGGTTCTGATGAGTTCTGGAGAACCGGTAGTGGAAATTTTGAGCAGTTTGGAGAACCGGCAAATACCACCTCTGACTGGAGATTTTACAGTATCATTCCCCTGCCATACCCACCAAGCCACGCCCACAGAACCGATAGTAAAAAATTTGAATCCCACCATTGGTGGCAGATTATGGTCTATTCCTTCCACATGCCAATACACCTGTATTGGTTGGAAACATGCAGAAGACCCTTCATCCTGCAGTGGGTAGACAATGGCTAAATGATAATGATGAATGATGATTCTGGCTATATTCCAATAAATCCTGAAATCTGTTCTTTGCTTCCTTAGATCTTGTTCCTGTGTGGCTTGGCTGTTATAATTGGATTAAGAAGAACTTTTGGATTCTTCTTCCAAAAGGAGAAGCTTAAGGGAACCAGTTTCTTTCTAGGAGGCATAATCATTGTTCTGCTTCGGTGGCCTCTACTAGGCATGCTGCTGGAGACTTATGGTTTCATTAATCTCTTCAGGTGATCAGTCATCCTAAATCAGGGGTGTCAAACTCATGGCATCATGGTGTCATCACGTGACATATCGTGACTTTTTCCCCCTTCACTAAACTAGGGATGGGCGTGGCCAGAATGTGATGCATCTGGCCCACAGGACATAAGTTTGACAGCCCTGTCCTAGACCATTGCATTTTTTATGGGAAATTGTGGATGCAAAAGTTTTGGGTTGTACTAATTCTCTGTGCTTGGTTTTCAGTCAAAGGAACTGAACGGAAGTAACAGTACCTGGAGAAAGAACAGGGATTGCAGGAGAGCTTTTTGTTTTCTAGCCATGAATATTGGACATTGACAAAGCCACGTGTAGGGTTGTTAATCAACCCAAAAGAACACTACAAAAGATTAGGGAAATCTGAAAAACAAGTGGAAAAAATAATCATCTGCAAATGTAAAACCAAGCTCTAAGAACTTATATAATCCAATCTGGAATGATATATATTCTGCAACATAAAGTATACATAATCAACCCCAGGTTATTTGTGGATTTGATAGCTTCTCTATGTTAGTCAATTGGGGGTGGCATTTTTAATTTTGAATTGTGCTTATATTGTCTTTCACTTCTGATAGCTTCCCAGAATCATGTTGGTAAGATGGGGGTGGGTAGTTTTAACTTTCAACAAAAAATATTTATATTATCACATCTGATTTGGCTCTCAAGTTCATTTCCAGTTGAATATTTTCATCAGTAATTAACTTTTTCCTTTTTTCTTTAGGAGCTTTTTCCCAATTGCTTTTGGATTTCTGGGCTCACTGGTGAATATCTCAGTTTTGAACAAGGTAATGAAAAGCTGGGGTGACCCTGTGAGGAACAGGATTATAGTGAAATAAATGCTTCACTCTCTAAGCAGCCTCCCCTCTTCCATTGTCCCGTTGCTGACATGTTGGCTAAGTCTTTAGCTTATTTAATGGAGGATTCTGGGAGAGTCATTGCATCACATCTGGATAGAGATCTTTGGGCAAAGCTGCTCTTAAAAGTACAACAGGAGACATTACTGAAACAGTCATTCATGCCCTGGTCACTTTATAAGCTGACTACAACAATGTATTCTATGAGGGCCTGCCCTTGAAGACTACCTGTAAGTTTCAACTAATCTAGAATGAAGCAGTATGGGTAGCCATTGGCATGCTTCAGTATGCTCATGTAACACTTCTGCTCTGGGAGCTGCACTGTTGCCAGTTTGCTTCCAGATGGGATTCCAGGTGCTGATTATTTGCAGATAGGCACAATATTGGGCTTGCCAATTCAGTATGGCACAGTTGATACATCCAGAGGGGCACATTCTCTTTTTGCAGCATCTGCTTTTTAGAATGAGGTTCCCCCTGAGATTAAATAGTTCCCACTCTGCTGGTATTTTGAAAGGGCCTCAAGATTTGGCTGATAATGCAGGGAGAGATGAATTCACAGCTTCATATTTTTTATTGATGGTTCACTAACATAAACCCAGTACCATTCAAGAGGTGGACATTTTTCTATTGATCTCATAGGTAGATCATTCCCACAGCATACAATGATCTTAGCAGTATGATCATTAGTTAATTTTTAAAAAAAAAATATCTGTCATATATCCTTGTTCTTTTATCCTAGTTACTGTAATTTTCATTCCATCATATAATTCTTTATAAAATTATTAGTAATTTTTTTCTTTTTGCAGCTGTTTCAGAAATTTGGAGATGCCAGCTCTGCAGTGTAACTTGAATAAATGACTTGTTATCAGAGACAAGTTCCCTTCCTACAAGCACAAACATTTTTTATGAATAGTCTGCTACCTCAATAGTCCATGTTATTTAATGCTGATTTAAATACTATATATGATCACTGTCAGAAATCTACAAAGTAATTGATAGAATCATTCCTTGTAAGAGGTGTGATTATAATGGAGTTTCCACCTTCTGGTGCTGGTTTATACATACTTGATTGTGAAAATGCTGTGTCATTTAAACATACAAAAACACACCCCAATGATCTTCAATACCCTGAAGTATCACACATTGTATCACAAGGATTGACAGCAATACATCCAACACTTAGGATGTGTCAACTCGGTTGCAGAAATATATCTGAATGGGATCATCAATATTCAAGCAAGGACTCCACAAATTTAACTATAAAATTAAAAAGAAAATAACTAATACTTGCTTTTATCTAAACTACAGAGAGAAGGAGAATGGGAAACAGGGAGGTCCATTTGTCTCTTAAAATATAAAGATCCCCTTTATTAATAATAGGCCAGGTGAAAAACCAGCACAGAGGCAGAATATGAAGAATCTTTCCTTAGCCACTCACTTCTCTCTTGCTCTCTCTTCTCTTACTCCTATAATATCATTTCCATTAGCAATAAAAATAGGCTGATAGATGCAATGAGTAGCCTCTGACAATACTGTCTCCAGACCAATAATTTATATTATCTTCAGCACTTTAAAATCTCTATCCAAAAGAGACAATAGAATGAAAGTAGGGAAGGACTTGGACAGATAAAATTAGAAATAGTACCCTTAGCAGAAAATTTGTAAAAGTGGAGTATAATAGAATGACGTTTAAATATGTCCATTTCCCTGACATATTTTTGCTATTCTTTTTTCTGTAGGAACATTCAATGGGATATAGTGGGTACAAAGATTATTTGGGGTTTCCTGTTTCAAATCTTATGACAAAAATTATGCAGGAGACAGTTTTTGTATAATGTATATTTTGCAATACATTCTATGTATCAAAACAATATTTGATCTCCAGTGCAACTATGTGATCTTTGATATGAACTGAGTGGAACTGAAGAAGCTTCTGGTCTGGGATGAGAAACTAAACATTTTCAACAAAAGAACCAAGAAAGTCCAGTTGCCTTTTGAAAAGTAACTTTGGGACAATCATGACCTGGATAATTGAGAAGCTCCACAGACTTTGATACAAATATTTTTCATCTTTAACAACACTAAATTCTAAAAGTAAATTAATAAAATGTCATCTCAATCTCTGTATTCGTTACCTCACAAGACAAATAGTAGTTCCAGAAGAGCAATCTCCAAGCCAAGCCAGAACTGCACTTCCTGTTTTGTTTTCTTCCCAGTAAAGGGAAAACTTAGATAATTTGGTCAAAAGTATAAAGATAATTCAACAGCAAGATCTTTGCACATTGTGCAATTTTCACATTGTGCAAATTGTATGAATATACCCTTCGAAGGGTCTTCAGGGGCATTAAACAGTCAATTGGGCAGGCACAACCATGCAGTCAAATTCCTGCCTTCATGCAGCATACCTTCACCTATGTATACAGGAGGATACACCACTCCCACACACCACCTGGACAGTGGTGGGATTCAAAAAATTTTACTACCGGTTCTGTGGGCATGACTTAGTGGGCGTGGCAAGGGAAGAATACTATAAAATCTCCAGTCAGAGGTGGTATTTGCTGGTTCTCCAAACTTCTCAAAATTTCCACTACCAGAACTGGTCAGAACCTGCTGAATACCACCTCTGCACCTGGAGATATCTCTCTGTATTCTATACTCTTCCAAAATGCAGGTTGTTAGACCTGGCAGTTAGTTCCTTGCTTCCTTATTCAATGATTAGAAATGAAGGAGGGGGGAGCATTTAAATCAGAGCAAATGGCAGTACCCTCATCTTCTTTGTTGCTAATAATTCCAATGTAATAGAGCAAATTGATTCCAGCCTATTTATACCAATTGTTCTGGCTTGGCTGTAAAGAAAAGGAACGTAGAATTGTTTTGATCCGGTTGAAGAAAAGAAAGAGAAGACGGTTTAATGAAAGAATGCTTAAGGAAGGGTCTACCCTTCCAAGATACAATAAAGCTGCTTAGGCAGGGAAATTAAAAGATATAAACTAGAGGCGGACCCATCTTTGCTGATGTCACCAGTAAGGGCATTCAATAATTCAGACCCCGGCCTTAAGAATGAGAAGAGAGCTGTAGCAGAGATCATCCCATCTTTTCCCAAGAGATCAAGACTTTGGGCCTGGACCTTGCAGGAAAAACTGAAGTAAGTAAAACTAAGGATGTTGAAGCCATGGGGGGTGGGGGGTGGGGGCAAACCTATACAAACATTTATCTGGCAGTAAATCCACTAAAAACAACATGGTTACAAATTATGCTAGAGAACTGTGCATATTTATTCAAAAGTTTGTTCTATTGCATTAAATGGGATTCTGCAGAAAATGTTCATAGTCTTGACTCCACTGTCATATTTCAAGTAGACAGTTCTGCATCATATACCTCTGCTTCCCAGCCTCAAATGCATTTTTATCAATTCAAAAGTTTTTGAAAATAGTGTAAGGTTAGGACTGTTGTTTGAGACTGCAGGCAGATTGTGATTTTTAAAAATAGTCTTGATGTTGTTGTTTAAGAGGAAAAAGAACTTAGAAGTAGAAGCACTTAATACAGTATGTATTTACTCATACCTGCAACTTTAGTCTTCCTTTTGCTTCTGGCCAAGCAGGGTTACCTGGATTTGGAAAACATGTAATCTGTTCATTACTGGTGGAATGGGAATGAAAGTTTGTATGCTGAACACCTCTCTTTCAAATCACATTTAATTCACTGTAATTAAATTTTCTCCTTGAATGAATGTATGCATACTCTCTGTGTATGCTCCATCTCTGCTTGTCTTTTTCATAATAGCTAGTTATAAATGTTTTCTGCTCTACAAGTTTGAAAACTGGTCTCAAGTCTTATTTTTTCCCAACAACATTCTTTGATCCTCACTGGTCAGGCAAACTCTACAAAGAATGGGGAACTTTGGCAAAACTGGAGAGATTCTCTAGAAATGCTGCCTTCTCAGCTGAACCATGGCTTCTTATTTCCAGAGGTGCATGGGCCAGGCTTCCACCCATGATCCCATTTTTTCTGACCCACAGCTGCATTCTGTACTTTAAGGCATTAATAAATCACAGGACATTGAAAGAGAGAAAGAGAATGGCAGGTCTTGATCTACAATAATGTGTCAGTGCTGTGCCAGTCAGTGTATAAGGTCCGTGCTTTGTGAATGCATTTTTTAAAACCCCTGTTTTGGGTATTATCCTATTATCTGTAAATAACTATTTATGCCATGCATTGGAATTTCTGTTTAGAGACAGACCATTAACTGTGTAATAATAAATTAGACTTAAATTAAGGACTGTAGTGTAACTACAATAATTAATAATAATTAAAAGTACTAAATCAGTAGGAGTACAAAGCAGAGATAATACATTTGTGTGATTGGGCAAATGAAGTAAATGATCCAACTGTCAAACAGACAGTGGAACTTAACCAGAAGATTGGAAATTTGAGTTTAATTTTATATTCAGTTCACATTAAAAAAAAAAACACATGCATGCACCATGCACGGAGAGCTTGCTTCCTACCAGTGATTCTGAGCCATGTCAAACTGGAACTGAGATTATTTTAGATACACGCTGCTAAACATTTCCTCTATAACTACAGTGGCCATATTTCTTGGAAAAAATCAAGGACAAACCTGAAAAGGGGGCAACTCTAAAAGAGGTTCATAAGGATAACCAATGGAGTTGTTTATAACTTTGCTTTACAAAAGAAAATTCAGGAGCAAAACCAAGAAAAAAATTATAAAAATGCATATTCTAATAAAAATATAAAACCAAACAGTATGTATAAATGTATTTTAAAAAGACAAGTTAGTTTCCATATTTTTCACATGAATGTTCTTTACACCTCCCATGGACTCTGTTTGCACTTGGCTAAGGGATGTATACCACCCAGTTTGGAAAACCCTGATCTAAAGCATTCCTCCTTCCTTCATTTTTTTTAATCTTAGATCTACTGCATTTCAGAATGAACCTATTATATCCGCTGCTTATGTTCCTGTTATTCTTCAGAGTTCAGTTTGGAAAACTTGCAGACAGTTATTATCCTTTAAAGAGCTTCTGGCCTCAAGGTAAGAAGTAGAGGCGGTCTTGAAAGACTCTTATTAGATTTAAGGAGAATCTTGTAAACTTAGTAATGATCTGAAATTGCCCTGTAAAAGAATGTTCACTGCTGTTTAGAGAACATACATGTGGTCCTTGTGTCACTGCATTCTGGAGCTGTGAAGAAATATAAAAAATGCTAAAGGCAGGGTGGGAGGAATGCTCACCTGTCAGCAACTCAGTAAAGATACTGAGTCTTGTTTTGTGTTCCATCAACACCTAGTACACAAATCCCATGGTGGGGGGAGAAACATTTGATTTTTAAAAGTGCTATGGGTGCTGTATATCTTGAATTATCTTTTCCTCTTCAAATCTTGAACACAAAGTAGCCTTATATCCATGCTTTTCATAATTTCCGAGACCTTCAATTCTGCCATGGTGAACTGGCAGGGCTTTGAAATTGACACTTCCTTTATCATAATGGAAATGAGCCTTTTCTGCTGTGGCCCCACCCTCCATAACATCACCCCCCCCCTTGAAATGCGGTTAGCCTTTTGAAAAACTCTCAAAATTTGCCTTTCCCCCCCATCCAGTAGTGAGATTCAATTTTTTTTACTACTGGTTCTGTGGCCATGGCTTGGTGGGCCTGGCAGGGGAAGGACACTGTAAAATATCCAGTCAGAGGTGGCATTTGCCAGTTCTCTGAACTACTCAAAATTTCCGCTAACGGTTCTCCAGAACTGGTCAGAACTGGCTGAATACCACCTCTGCCCCCATCAGATATACCCATTGGTTCATCATGTCTTCTTATTTAACCCTCTTGTAATTTTGTTTTTACTTATGTTTGTTTAATTGAATTTTATATTTAAATTTTATATTTCTTTGTTTAACTGACTTTTAATTGGTTTTATTGTATGATCCCTAGAGTCACCCTGTGTGAGATGGATGTCCATAGAAATTTGATGATGATAGATAGATAGAATGTTTATTTATTTTATTTATTTATTTTATTTTGTCAAGCAATTATAACAGGTATAAGTATAAACATAGTTATGAATACATGAAATGGATACATATAAGAAAAATAAAAATAAAAATAAACAATAGGACAGGGACCTACTGCACATTAAGTGCGCTTATGCGTTGTGTGTGTGTGTATACAGAGAGAGGGAGGGAGACAGATGAGAGATAGGTATAGATAGATGATGATAGACAGACAGATGCATGGATAGATATAGAGATGATAGAGATAGAGATAGAGATAGAGAGATAGATAGAGATAGACAAGTTATTTTACAAGTTTATTTTTTCTCCATCCTGATGCTTCTCCAAGTATGTTCTCTCTATAAGCTTCTCTTATTCTTTCTAGCTAAACCCTCCAGAGGCATTGCCAAATGGATCCATTGGCCTAATGACATCCCATGTTCTGAAAGGAGCTCCAGCTCTGGCAAAGAAGGTCTGAAATCCACAGTAACCCTTCTGTGCAAGCGGCAAGAGCATCAAGTGCAGTTATGGCCAGGGATGCCTCCAATAAAAAGCAAGGGGGTTCCATTGCTGGAAGGGGCATTGCTGTTAGAAGGGAGCCAGGATCTTTCCACCTACAACTTGAATTCCTTTGGGTTAAGATATGGAAAGAGGCAAGTAGTAAAAGCCCAGGAAAAATCAAGAAAGCCTCAAGAATAATGGAGAGGGGGGTATTCAGGGGAGGGGATGGTTTGAGATGGATCCCTTTTTCATTGTTCCAAGGTTATGGCTACCGACACTCTTTAAATATTATTGTTGTTCAGTCATTAAGTCATGTCTGACTCCTTGCTACCCATGGACTATAACATGCCAGGCCCCACTGTCCTCCAGTGTTTCTTGGATTTGCCCAAATTCATGTTCATTGCATTGATGATACTATCTAACCATCTCATCCTCCGCCATGCCCTTCTCCTTTTGCCTTTGAAATTCTTTGGCATTACCTTTCTTTGGGATTGGAATGTAAATCAATCT